TACAATGTGAGGCTGATCTTGGGAAGAGAGTCTGTTGCTGTTAAACTCAATGGACGGCTGTTTCGTATGATGACACGAGAGAACGAGTAAGTTGTGAGTGAGCGCCCGCCCAGTGAACATATCCTGCCCTGATAGCTAATGGTGCTGACCTCACAGACATTAGTACTGTGCTGCCGTGGTACTTTTGTCTTGTAACAGATAATTAGACGGGATTGAATCTAATTACACTTTTGCCTCATTGACCATCTTGGCAGCGTAATCTATCTGTGTAGCAGGTAAATTGTGTTTAGCTGGATGTGCGCTCAAGCAGATTTTTCTAATGTTTGATTCTCTCTGTGTTTGACGCTCATGGAGTTTTGCTCCAATGTTTGGGGTCTTTTTTTTACTCATTTAATTAAAGATTAGTACTCTCACACCAAACCTGGTGCAATATGACTGGATTCCAGCACGATGCTGCAGAGTTAAAAACCAACAAAGTGTCCTTTTGCTTGTCAAGTTTGGTTTGGAATAAGAACTTGTTGCTGTATTGCACATCTAAATACACTTTAAAGTCTCAATTAGAGTTATATGTTTAGTGTCAGGAACAGGTTTTATTTTGTTGAATCAAAAGTCTGTTGCACCTGCTGGGTTTATTTAACCTCCATATATATATATGCACTCTAAAAAATGCTGGGTTGTTTCGACCCAACGTTGGGTCAAATACTTTTGGGTTAAAACTTTAATTAAAAAATGTAACCCAACAGCTGGGTTAGTCCATATTTGACCCAATGTTGGGTTGGGTTGGATTTTTTAGAGTGTGTATATATACTGATCTCAAGTCAGAAACTCTTGCCCTATTTTTTTTACGGGCCCCTTCATTGGCAAACTCCAGGCCATTATATAATCCATTCTGCTCCAGTTGAAATGACAGGGAGAGCAGCAATCCACCCCTTGAACAACTGGCTGCCTTAAAACCTGTTAATTTATTCAATATATTAATGTTTTTATTTTTTATAAGCAAAAATATTTAACTATGTTAATGTGTTTTTTTCACTTGTGCAAAATGTTTTTAGGCATACAAAGGCATATAAAGGAACTTCAAAGATGGACTTACTATTAACAAAGAATTTGGAGCCCTTTAGTCAGGCAATGATTTGGTGCCATTGACCTCTCTGTAAATGCCATAAGCTGTATTTTCTATTCGCTCCGAAATTATTATTATTATTTTTTTAAATCATAACAGGCCTTAAATACTGTTTTTAGGATAATTTGTGATGATGAAGATGTTCCTCTATGACATTATCATGTCTTATTAAGATGTTTTGTCGGCCAAACACACAAATTGTCCAAACCTCTGCATCCCGAAATGAATCATTCAACATTATTTGTATAATATCAAGACAACTGAAATGTTTTGAGAAAATAAGATGTTGTCATCCATTATAAGGAGATCAGGTCTCCTTGAAGTGAAGTCATCTGCCACTCGTACAACACATCTTGGCCTTAGTATTTCTGTATGAATGATCTTTCAATAGAGACACTTTCTATGAGGCAAGATCTCTTTTTTTCTATTATCATTGTTGAAATGGCTGAAGTACACCAATAAAAGTAACTTTAGGCAATATCTTTTGTTGTTTGGTATGTTTGAATGCTGCATTAGCTGATAAATCGAGAGATTATTTGTTATTAACTGACATCAGCTATATAAAATCGAATGCAAAATAGATAATCATAAACTGACAATACAATGTCAACGGTCTCTGGAAAGAGGTTTGGAAAGAGTGATAGTTATGTTCCGCGTCTGGGCCGTGGCGTCTTCCACTTGTTGACCTGAGCCACGCTGCAGTGGTGGCTCCACAGTCTTGAACACGATGCACTGGTGAACGATGAACTCCTGAGCACAGAGAAGGTCCTTGGTCTGGAAACACACAAACAGAGGAGCCTTGAAGGTGAAGGTTCTGAAGTCTATACAGAAAATCCTGGCAACCTGGAACACGCAGGAAAAGGATTGCTTGAAGAGACGATTCTGAAGATCCTAGCAGTTTGGAGGATCACTGAAGAAAAGGTTCTGAAGTCTGTACAGAAGATCCAGGCAACCTGGAACACGCAGAAGAAGGATGAGACGATTCTGAAGTAGTTGCAGAAGATGGGGGGTACTAAGCTTGTGGTCGTTGTTGCTGTGGCAGTTTCCCAAACTCCCCAAATTCACTCCTTGCTAGAGGTCGACCGATAGTGGATTTTGCCGATACCGATAGCTAGGTTGGACCACACTGGCCGATACCGATTAATTAACCGATTGTTTTAAAACTGATAAAATAGTGCTTTATTAACAAAACCAGTACTGAACCATACTAGTAGTAGTAGTAAAAATAATAATCATAATAGTAATAGTAAATGTTGAAATTAACACACTCTAACAAGGAACAATACTTACACAGCTTTCATTAATCTTAATGCTACAAATGGACTCTTATTTTAAAGTGTTACCATTTCATTTCAACTGTCATGCTTAAAGATGCACATCTTTAAATATATACACAAAGGCTATAGCATTAACATTATATACATATGGATATTGTATGTATACCCTCAGACTTGAACTGCTTCTATTCTTGAACACTTGATGATTATCTAATCAAAATAAAAGTGCAGCGCTGAGTCTAGGAGAACTCACCGGTATCACACACACTCCGGACGCGTCGGGTTCAACTCGAGCAGCGGTCTAAAACAGTTTATTTAATCACCAAACGGACACAAGTTTACTTCAAGAATGAACAATTTGGCATTGATGAGTTTGAAGTTCGGTGTTTAAAAAACTGAGCAAACGGAAAGAGAAAGCGCGACCTATATTATAGCTCAATAAATGAAGCACACAGACTTTATTAGAGCCACAGAAAGGCAAAAGTTTTGCTGAAAATGCACAAATACACAAGTCATTATGTACATTAACAACGATTCGGGACCAATAAAATGTAATTTAAAGGAAAACTATGTGAATGGCGCTCTGTGGCGTGGCAGGATTTTCTGTCGGCTGCATTTAAATCCGCGTCTGAAGTTTCCCGCTCTGTTCAGCGTGAAGTATCACGTGTCTAAACAAATAGCACGTGCTGTCAATGATTTCAACCACTAGAGGCTGCTCTCGCACTGTGTAATGACAGCAGACCCTTCTCAGCCGCTCCAGCAATGGACACAACCCGGGAAAACTATCGGCTTGGATTTTTGACGATAACCGACAGTTCCAGGAATCAACTATTGGTGCTGATTAATCGGCAAAACCGATACATCGGTCGACCTCTACTCCTTGCAGAACTTCCTTGTTTCTCAGTAGTACAGCAACAGCAGCTTAGCACATCTTGGCTTAGCACATTCCTCTTAGCACACAGTAGAGAAACAACAGCTTAGCACACTTCTTTGTGTTGAAGAGAACCTTTTAATCTTTCCTGAGAAGGAGGTTTTGCAAGTTGGTGCATTTCAGTTCCTGCATTTTGACCGGCTGATGCTGTCGAAGGTGGCCGTGGTATGACCCCCTGATATTAAAGTCCAAGTTTAGAACAATGTCTTTAAGGTTTTTCCTATGCTTAATTCACTTTCCAAACCAATTCCATATTAACCTACACATTGTGCTGAAAATAAGAAGACCAAACCTCAATGGGTAATGCTGATCATTGACCCATGCATTCATATATACAGTATATATAGGTAAGGTTGCATACATTGTTGTATCACACATAGCACTCATTACGTATATACAGTTCTATAAATGGATTTGAAGAAGGTTTAATCAACTTTGAGTCCATTTTGTCTGAACGCATCTGAAGATGTGACCTTCCCTTGTGACTTCAGAAAAAGGCAAATCCAGTTTGGTCAGTCTGAGTGGTCATTCACACTTAAGTCTCAAAAATGAGCGGCTGTGATCAGTGAAAGAGCATGTGGTGATTGGATCAGTCTTTGAAAAATGGAATGCTGAAGTCCTCATTCCTGCCTTCCACAAATGGCAAGCTTGAGGGAGAGCAAAGCAGCTCCTGAATGGGGGATACTATATGTTAATGTTGTCTATCATGTTTTGATTGAAAAATGTGTCCATGCAATATTTCTTTAATAAATGTATTATGTTGCTGTATTTCTGTAATAAATGTGCTATGTTAATAATAATAAAAAAAAGTGTTAGTATGATTAGTCTTATGCTACTCTGAACATAGCCATTTACTGAGCAGTTCTAAGATCTGAATTCAGATGTTTATTTTTTGTGTTATGGTAAAGTGCGAGTCAGATAGTTTGGTCAATTTTTATGTAGCATTCAGAGCATCAACGGTATGAAACGTTGGTTTTATGTAATATGAATTATGTATTCACTAAAAAAGCCATATTTTTTTATTTATACTTTGACATGATGTGGATACATTGACATGGTTTAGGTAAGAGTCCTTTGTGGTTTATATATATATATATATATATATATATATATATATATATAACATTAGGTTTATAACATCTTTTGCAGTCTAACATAGTAAGCACATTTTGTAATTATCTTCTGTCAGCCTTACCCTTATCCATTATCAAACGTACCTGTATGATGTTTGTTAAGTGTAACATTTGATGTTTGTATAACTGTAAGTGTGTTTGAGAGCGTCCTACTTTAAGAACATGCAACCAATGCCACAGGATACTCAATAGAAAAAAGGGGGCAGGTGTTTGAGGTTGGAAAGATGGCTTTTTGATGTCAGCCAAAAAAGGCTCTTTTTTCTTTTCTTTTGAAGCAGTGAGAAGGTAATTACATGTTGTTTCTTCTTCTTCTGAATAGCATAGCATGCACTGAATTGTGACAGTAAAATGTTAAGAAAGTACAGTAAATAGGCCATTTTGATTTCATGCTAATGTTTTAACTTGAAACTGTGCTGAACTTTTCACTCAGGGTGTCATCATCCAGTTCCATCTGCCATTTAATCAGATGCTACACTGAAACAGAGAAATTGGCATCCTTTGAGTCATCCCCTAAAAATGACACTCCCTGTTTTTAACAGCACTCATCACTCATTTGCTTCTTTTCAACAGACAGCTGCAGAGACTCAAAAGAGCTGTACAAATCTTTTTTTCAAAAGGGTGCTTAACTGTTTATAAGCAGATCTCTTAGAAGTGGTGAACGCCTCACTTCTTTCTGGGACTTTTCCAAACTCCCTGAAAACTGCAGTTGTTAAACCCCTTCTGAAAAAGAGCAATCTTGATAACACCATATTGAGCAACTATAGACCAATATCAAAGCAGGTTTGCGAACTACGGGGGAGCTAGGGGGAGCTCGGCTCCCCTTAATAAGACATGGGCTCCCATGAAAACGTGATTTGTGAAATTTTGGGGGGCCTCAAAAAATATTGACAATGTGTTATTTTGACGTGCAATTTCAGTTTTGTGTAATGTGATCACCGTGGATTATTATGTGTAAAATTGCAAAAATATCATTCATTCATGCATGACGGCGATTTAAACCTAATTCACTTCAATAAAGAAAACTATACATGCTATTCTTGTCATGAGCATCAAGGTGTGGGGGTGCTGCGGTGCAAATTCCACCCATGTTTAGTACATGTTAACTAAGATTCGTACAAAAAATATAAACGATGGACTCTGTGGTCGATTCTGTGTTAAGGTAAGGCATGTTATTCGCAATTATGTGTTGTGGCTGGGGTGTTATAGGTCTGCGTGACTCTAGATGTCTTAGGTCTAACTGAACGGAGGAATTATGATATTCTTCTGTAGCCTGACGACGAGTAACTTTAACCATTGTTCATGTGAACTCAAAGACAGCTGGATGCTTTGTTTATAGACTATTTGTGGGTGGCTGTTTGTTGTTTCACCTATCAATTCGTGTCGATAAAGTATAATAGGGTAAATCCTGTATAGTGATATACACTTGTAGCTGTTATGTGTCTTTGTAAGTCATTGTAAGCCCTCTTTTGATGCACTCGCAAGTGCACGAACCCAAGAAGAGGCTGTATCCTACGCTGTGAGAGTAAATTTCTTTTATGACACTTTATAGTTACCACAAACTTGTTAACACTTGACACTTACCACTGAGAAACGTCCTGCTCCAGTCGTGCTTGCGAATCAGGGAAAGGAGGGGTTTAGAGAGACTGATTCTTTGAACCGCTAAAGTCGTTTATGAATAATTTAAAAATGAGGTAAAATTAAATCTATTTTTTGAGAAAACTAACGTGTCTTTTGACCTTGCATGCATGTAAACCTGTTATAGGAGACTCATAAAACAATATTAGCAACCTTAAAAATGGCATAATAGGGGCACTTTAAGCATCTACATGTTCCTCTCATCATTTTCACTGCAGATTCAGCTTTGTGTCTCGCCTTCCTTTCTGCTCTCTGTTTCCTTTTGTGAAGCATCAGGTGGCGAGTGAGGGTCTGAATAAGGAAAAGGAGAATCCGGTAGTCAGACATGGTCATACACAAGACAAACAGACAGTGAGGCAAACAATATACAGAGGCAGTCCAAGATCCAAACAAGTATAACGAAATCCAACAAGTATAGAGTCCAAAAACCAAGAGCGTAATCCAACACAGAATGCTCAGAGTTGCAGTGTGAAACCAACAATACTTCACACTGAGTGAGCAAACAGTCAGGGTGTATATAGGCCATCCTAATTAGGCTGAGAGAACAATCACCTCAGAATTCAGGTGAGGGAGACCTCTGGTGGCGAAGTTGAGAAATAGCAAATGATGTGACAGAACACTCTCCTTTAGGAGTGTCTCCTGACACTTCACAAACTCGCACAACTCCTCACTCACGTTTTCTAAGTGCTGGTTTGAGAGGGTGTTTTTGATGAAAATCAGATATCAGAGAGGGGTCCAAAATGTATGTTCCCTGACCAAGAATGCCTCTTCATTGTCGTGTTTGATGGGTGGGGGTGGTGTATTGTTGGACGACTCCTTGCCTCTCCCCCAAGAGAAAGAAAGAAATATGAAAAGCAGAGATATGAT